CCGTTTTGCAAAGGTATGTGCCGATCCATGAAGTCATTAGAGAGGAAGAGTATTAATCAGAAATAAAAACAGGAGAAACAGGTTTCAGTAGAGTGGCGCTTCTACACCTTGGATGTCGTTTTCTGAGAGAAGCAAAGAGAAACCTTAATCTGTTGAATTCCCGATCTGACAAAATCATAGCAAGCACAGCTCTGACCCTTAGTAGCTCAAATACAAAATCTTAATGTCATTTTATCATTAGGTAAGTTAGCACCTGCAAACATGATTGTTACGTAAGCCTGTTCGCACATGAGTTCATCTTGTTAAAACGCAATTTTTACATTTAAAAAGCCACCAAATTTGATGCGTTCCTTGCGACGATGAAGAAAAAAATCGAAAAATTATGAGAAAGTCATGTAAATGAAAGGGCATGTATCGTCGGGTCATTTGTAACTTTATATGCGTAGTGCACACTATAAACGCTAACTGACGAACTGCGAAACTAGAACCTGCTCATTTCCAGTGATTTCTCCTTGTTTCCTTGTTTCTTTTGTTTTAGTTGGTTAGATGTTAGTCAGTAGAACACATTTCTACATTTTGTTAGGTTAGAAAATGTTTTACTTGGAAGTTACTAGTATGGGTGCCGTCGCTAATAGGGCTTAGTGTGCAACTTCACATATTAAGTTACAAATGACTCGAGGTTAAGTGTTTTTCTAATTAGGTTTGCCTCGCGCAACCTGGGAGCAATCTGAGTTTGCGTGAGATATTAGACATAGTTACAGTAATTTCCGAAATTCACATACACTGATTCCTTAGTTCAGACTCTACCTACAACATTTGCCTTGAACCAAGCTTCATCAACCCTGTTTTGCTATGGCCTTACAAGGGAAGGATACCAAAATTAGTCGGCGATTGAAGATGAGATGTATATCGTTAGACGCGCCTTCGAACGCTGATTCCAAATCTGCTTTTCTTTTTCGTGGAGTAAGTTTCCGAAAGAAATTGTGCGCGTTCAAATGTCGAAATTTGTCAAGGTTTAGGTGGCTTAAATTTGGCGAAAAATTGTACGAAAACACCGGAGAGTGGAAAATCATTTTTTATCGAGTATTGTTTGCAAGGAAGGAACAAAGCCGACGGAAATCGCATAGGTGTTGTTTTAAAGCTTTTCGCTAATTTTAAGCCATTCAGTGCTTGGCAAATCTGGACATTCAAACGCTCATAACTTCTTTCGGAAACTTATTCCGCAAAAAACGAAAGCAGGCTTGGAATCGACGTTCAAAGACGCATCTAATAATGCACCTCTCATCTTCAATTACCTTACCAACCAATGTTATCCTTCTCTTGTTAGAGGATATACCAGTTATCGCTTTTTGCTGTTTCATCTTTGATTTTCCTTGCTTTTTCACCTCTATTTACATACCGTTCACTGCAGATTATTAGATTATCAGATTAACAGTACTTGTAAAACACAATAAGTTTCGCAATCTTTATGAAGGGAAGCTTCGTTTCTATAATTCTCAAATGCCACCCCATTACGAGCATTGAGGAAAGAACACAAAAAGAACATTTGAATCAAAGTAAAAGAAAAGAATGATGTCTCTACTCTTTGCACTGGTTGCCCTCCATCATCCAGTTTTAAAGGAGTGCGTTCAACTGACGGAGCTTGAAAGCTGCCTTACAGAATCGAAGAAGTAGACAGAAGCTGTAAGTCAGGAAATTATGCGAAGAGAAGGGAAAATTAGGACTTTGTCTCTGAACAACCTCAGCTGGTTCGCAAGGTGGCTCAAGGCATCTAAATACAAGCAAAATAATTTACTGCGCTTTCAATTCACATAATTTTTTTAATGCTTTCTCATGTATTTCAGCTCTCCATTGCTTACAGGCAAGGCAATGAACAGGTGGGATGTCTACAGAAATGGTAAGGTAGAGGAGAATGGGGAGGAGATGGAGAGATTGTTATTTATGACGGGAAACTGGGTTGGGACATTTCGTTCAGGAGCAGGATGTGCAACCAATTTAGGTGGATTGAGGGACATGGAATTGGCCAGCTCTCCCGAAATTTTTTTCCATTTTGGTAGTTCTTTAGCAAACTTCCAGTAACCCTACAAAAAAGGCATTTCTTATGCTTCTGCCCTTGAAATGATAACAGCCTACCCGTATACCTCTTTTGTGTTTTAGCTGTTCTCTAAGCTGTAAATTCTTCAAATGCAGCTGCTTTAATATTGGCGAAATATGCAGGACTTCGATAATTCCCTTTCACAGATCCGTTTATGGCAGCCCCAATCAGCTCACTTTCAAGTAGAATATGACACTAACCTTGAGGACTTAATAACAAAAAAATTGAGAGACTTATTTCAAAGACACAAGCAGCTATCAACCGCATTTCTTTACCAAATCGTTACCGTAAAAGTTGTTTTTGTCAGGTTGGCGAATAATTCCTGTTTTATCTTTGTTTCTGTTTCTCAAACTAAGAAGCTTCAAATCTCATGCTTGAAGCATGAGATTTGAAGCTTGACGGGGTGCAGGACTATCCATCGATACTGTTACATCGTCGGACAAACCCACTACCAATACCCAATAACCAATCGTCTGGTACAGTATGATTTAGCACTTTATTGCCAACAAGCTACCGTAATGAGCATGCTGAAGTGCATTCAGCGAAAACAAATTAATTGCGTTTGAAACCTTTTGAGCGATTTGTAATATCAACAATTGATAATACAATCGCGATTTGTAATGTCAATTGAATGTTTCCAAATCTCAAAAGCAACATTCGGACATCAACTTTCAAGCTTAAATAAATCCTCGAAAATATCAGTGCATTTTTTTGATCTAAAAAACTATGCTGACGGATGTAGCGGAAAGACTGTTATGTAATGCGAGAGGCAAAAGATAATCGAATTTTCCACTTACGAATTGGAGGCTGGAAGGCGGGACATCGTGACCTAATTAAGGCTGGAATTTGATTGGAGAGCACATCCGCGAGAGAGACGCAGACTGCGTCGCAGACGTGAACGGTTGCCTTTTAGAGCAGCATCTGGTTGAATCAAACGGCACATAACTAGCACAATTTCGCGCAGGTCTTTGAGCCAAGCAATCGAATAATTCAATTGAAGAGAGTGGTACCAGATATCGACGCCGCTTTTATAACTGACACCTTCGCAAAGACACCAGTGTGGTGCTGCTTCTCAACAGTGTTATCTGAGTTCTGTGCACGGAAATATAGTGGAAATGGCAGAAAAGACTTCATGATAATATATGAAGACATACTTTGCACAAGATTTGCACAAAAATACAACGATACAATTGAAAGTACGAACCAGATATGGCATGGACGGGAAGTAGAGACACGAAGATCTTGGTGCGCTTCCATCGTTTTGAAAGTTGAATTATCTCTTGCTTTGGTTTGTATGCGCACTTCGCAAATCTTCAAAATTTTCGAACTTTCGACACAAAAACATTTGCACAGAAAAAAAGTATTGATTTTTTGTTTTTTGAGGAAAAGAGAAAGCGTTAAAAAAGGAACGTTTACTGGTTTATAATAACGCCCAAATGTGAGTGTCCCGGACTTCCCAATTCAAGACCCGACGCATTCCTCACGCGACTTCAGTCGCCACGCGATCTGGCTAATTGCCAGGCGTTTTCAAATTCAATACTGTTAGACCCCAAATGCACAACAGCACGTAAAACTATCGTATTTCGATAAAATGCTCTATCTTCCGTACTTTCAAAAAGCCCTTATGATGAGTTATGACCAATTTGAGTATTGCCAAATCGCGTTGCGACTGAAATCGCTGGGGTATGTTTTCGGCTTAAAGACATTCGAGAATCTGTAAGGCAGGTACTATACTCCTCGAGGAGTATAGCATGGCGACGATCGATATGCATCAAATACGTGTAAAACCAGCGATTTTTGCCGCCGATATTGGCGATCGCCAGTCGCTACGACGGGCGATCGCCAGTCGCTACGACGGGCGATCGCCAGTCGCCAAACAAGTTACCGTTAAGTGTCGAATGAGAAAATCACTGGTCTTGCAGTTCATTCTTTTTGAGGCGACCTCACCGGCTGGTGAGTACTTTGAAATGGAAGTGGGAAATGAGTAATGATCACCAATATCGGCGACTACATGTTTGATACGTATCGATTAGCGACGGGCGATCGCCAGTCGCTACGACGGGCGATCGCCAGTCGCTACGACTGGCAATCGCCCGTCGCCATGCTATACTCCTCGAGGAGTATAGCACCTGCCTAAAGTAAGAAATCCCACATGGAAAATGAGTGAAAGGCTAAGGCACTGTCCGTATGGCAGCGCAGATAATTATCTACAAGCGACAATTTTATCTACGAACCAGTGGCGGACCGAGGGGGGGAACGGGGGCCCCCCCCCGAGAATGGGTCGCGAAATTTTTGAAACTTACCTATATGGGTTGTAAAAATGTGCAAACGACTTGTTTGCACTTGAAAATAATTAAAATAATTTTTAAAATTTTTTAAAAATTCATTTCAGCCTTATAAAAAATTTTTTTTCGGGGGGGGGGGGTGGCTGACGCCACGCCCCCTTTTTCCAGATTTTAGGGGTCGGGAACCCGCAAAAATTTTGAGAAGCACCCCAAAAATTTTTTCGGAGTGCGTGGCTAAGGCCACGCACCTTCTTTAGAAAAAATTTTTTGTCGCCCCCCCCCCCCGAAAAAAATTTCTCGGACCGCCACTGCTACAAACCTATCCCTGGTACCGTATTTAGCGGACGAGTTTCATCGATTTGCATGCTTTCACGCAGGAACTCTTCGCGAGAGATTTGGGCCTGCGCGCAAAAGCATGCCAGCCTATTCGTTTGCTGACACGGTATTTAGGACAAGTTAAAAATAAATTTCTCTGTCGTTGTTGCATCATTTGCGCTTCCGCTTAGACAGTACTTAGATTAGAAGCACACAATCAGTCTCTGCTCAAAGCCTCACTTGCCAATTATGCCTAAATGCTTCAAAAGAACAATTTTGTAAAAAAAAACAAAAAAGTTTTGGGCTCAGTCAAACTCGGCCTGTACGAACACGTGCAGTGCATAAATTTTACCCTTCTTCAGCCGATATCTTCCGTCCTGAAAATAAAAAATCTGCAACTGGAATCTGAAAGCTAAAATCGAAAAAGTGAGGCCAGCCGTGGCCGTGAAATACTCCAATAATTCATGCTTGAGAGGGCATTTAAGACGAAAGTAAGCACATTGATAAGTCCCGCGTTATACTTTATACTGAAAAAGCGTTGAACAACAGACTGGCTAGAAAATCGATTTACAAAAGCATACGCACAAAAACGTAGAAATTTGTTCACGAGTGATTACAGTGCCCTAACACGAGACAAAATCCGATATATTGATGAGGTCGCAAATTTGCGAGCATCACGCTGTTACTAACTGAAGCCCTTTTGAGCTTTGCTATGCTATCGTAGTGGAAATCACTTAGTTTTTTCGCTTGAGATTTGAGTATTGCACCGTCACTGATTAAAAAGAGTGTTTTCCAAATTCCGAAACCTGGTTAATCAGGAGCTTTGTCGTATTTGAAATCTATTGTATCTGTATATCTATATGTAATTGCTAGTGTTGAGAAAACAATGAAAATAAGTGTTGAGAAAAGAGGATAAAAATGGCACACTGCAGTTCTTTAGTCATTTTGGCGCGGCTGAAAAATCAAGGGTTTTTCTTATCTGCCAGAAAAAAATAGTAAATTCCGATTTTGCCTGTATAGCCATGTTATCCTTCAGGCTTATACGGCTTTCTTACCTACTGGTGAGCTTACCCTGATGTGTGCTGGTCGATACAGTCCAGAGTCTTCATTTTGCACGTTCTCCATTATCAATCCCGCTTTGTTGATCAATACCACTTTTCTCGGATTTCGCTTCTAAATACATCAGAAATGATTCTTATCAAAAATCATATCATAAAAATGGGTCTTCTGCCTCATTTGCCTATACTTTTGTCCAAAAAGCAAGAATTATTCAAATTTGGCTGAAATTTGGGCAGATGGAATTGACATTTGCAGAATTTTCGCGGTTACACGGAAGCATCAGGCAGATTATGGCTTGGAAGCATAATTCAAAAAAAGGGAAAGCTTGGCCAAATGCATGTTGTGTTGCTTTGCATTTTTTAAGCAAGGTTGTATAGAGTTTGATGACAATAGACAAAGCTTTTAGGACAGCCTAGTACAATACAGTAGCTGCTTTGTCCAGTACGATGTGCATCTTGCTCGTTTTTCATCTGCTACTCTGAACGAAGCGCCGGCGAGGTTCTCTAGTAGAAGGAAATAAAAGGGCCTTGTTGAAAATGGCTACGCAACAAAAGCTCGACATGTTGAGGGCCAGGATAAAATTTTTTTGTCATCTTCTTTCCTTCTTTCCTTTCAAGCAACTCTAGCTTTTGTACACAATACGAGTTTCAAGCAAAGTATGCTAGATAATGAGAAGAGAAAGGAGGTTCAAAGAAACTTTTGTACTTACAAGGGAGGTCCGATTGGTCGAATAGGGCTTTTCACATAAAATTGCGACTATAAAGGGCATCGGACGCTGATTCCAAATCTGTCTTCGCTATCTGCCGAGCGCCTCTGGACGTCGAGTTATGAGCGTTTTCTGAGTTGAAAAAATGAATGCATAATTAGCACAACATTCGTCAGAATTGCTCAAATGGCCCAAGTTAATTATCGGAGCACTCCATTTAAACAATTCCCTCTGTACAAAACACTCATACTTGACGCTGCTCTGTTTGAGCGCTGAAAAGAACCTGGATTATGCGTTCATTTTTCGCACTAAAAATTCATAACTCGGCATGAAGATGCGCTTGGCAGATAAAATTAGATTTGGAATCAGCGTTTGATGCTCTTCAAAGTGGTACAAGACTAATTTGGAAAGGCCACTTGCCTATTTGGACCTCCCTTGTTAGAGCTATGACCGCATCTCGTTTACTTCTTTGTCGAAAAAGCAGCAAATCATATAAAAAAGAAAAACTTACCTGGTTCCTTTTTGGCTTTCTCTTTGGCAAAAATCCTCGACATTGTTTGCCATAGCGTTCTTGCCACATTGGCCGCGTCAAGCAGTTAACAGCATGTTCTTTCCTTGTTCTATTCATCGACACATCTACCACACCAGCGACAACACGCACCCATGCGTCGGCTCCATCATCCGGGAAGTAGACTAGCGAACCTTCCATCACTTCTGCTTTTTGTCCAGGAAGTACGCGAACCTCAGCTACTTCCTGCAAAATTTTACAATAAAAACCCAAATAAGTGAGTAATTTGTTTCATACATCGTAGCGTTTCAGAGCGAAATACATGTCTACACCACGGTGAAAATTATTTCTTCTTGTTCCTCTTCTTGCTGCTTCATGTACACAAAAGAGCATGCAAAAAATGGCGAGAGATTTCAACACCTGAAATTCCTAATTTATATAAAAGTAAAAACATTAACTTAGAGTTGCTTTCTAAAAAATATCGGTCTGTATTTAGGCTCCCTACGGATCGACAAAATTAACTAAGAGCCCAAATGCAATACAAGCACTCACAGGTGGCCTTATCGTTGATCTCTGACTCAGCTAGAAGTTAGACTAGTTAAGTGGGGTTCGGAAAAAGAGCATGTTTCTACTTTAACAAAAAGGAATGAAAAGTTTTACAAACTATAGTCTACAGGTTGACCGTAATTGGGATGAGACAAGAATATCCGTGATGCCCATTAACTTCGCTCCAAATTGGTTTCTGACAAGCGAGTTTGATGTCAAATGTATTGTTAGTTGAAAGTCTATATATTTTGCTTCTGCTAATAGCTGCCCTTGTAGATTTGAGAAAGAATAAAGCGGGAGAGGCAAAAATTCTTTGAATAAAAGGGCTTGATTCAGCTATAGTCTAAAAAAATTTGGAGAATGCTTACCAAAATTTACAGGTACTGTAATCAAATTTTGAGAGAAGATTAGCGACTAGGAGACTTTGCAAAAAATTTTTTTCATAAAACCAGTTTAATACGTTTTGTGCAATTCAATATATTAGGTTGTCCCAAAAATTTTGTCGGTTTTCAAACGGCTTTAAAACCGCGCACAATAAAAATCTGATTGAGTTTCAACATGCATTCAATACAGCTTTGCGTTCTCGTTCTTAGGGATTCATTTTCGAACCGCAGTCCAGAATGCTTTTTTGATAATTGCCAAAAATCTCCACCGTTCATCGTGTATTGTTCTTCTGCCAACCAGGTTTTGTCGTGGATCATTATCGTTATTGAATTTACGTTTCGACTAATATCGTTTTTTCGAAGGTCTCTAATCCACCTTGGAGTCTCTAGTCCGCACAGATATGACGGACATCACCTAAGGAATGAAAATCCTCACCCTTCAATTCTATCCGCTCAAATCGACTAAGTTTGTAAAAATTTCATTTTGAAGTTTCGGAAAGTGTTAAATATGGCGCAAATGAAGCAAACTTCGGGCTATACGGCGATGATTTTAGATTCGTTTTATTTGCTTCGAAGAATCCGCTTTTTGGATTTTTCGGTAAAGTTTGCGAAGCTGTTGTTGAAAGCTGAATGCTTGTCGTTAATAGCGTAATACCATTCTTATTCCTTATGTAAATGAAATTTTCACCTTTAAGCCAAGCTCGCTTTTTTATACTACAAAATTTGGGGATAGACTACATTTTGGCAATAGCTACGGTGGAGGAACGCGGATATCTGCAACGGACCACGCAACAATACATATCACGCACGAACTGGTTCCGCCGTCCTTGTCAATAATATTTTTGTAATCAGCATGCTCACTCAATCCCTAGTCAACTCCAGCCCCATAGTTTAAATTCTGTGAAAAAGTCAACAAAATCGGTATCGCTAGGTAGCGAAAAGTAGCCTATGACATTTGCCTCGTCCCTATGTGGCCAAGTTTGGTCCGGATTGGTTCAGAAACGAAAATTTCTATTCGAACATACGTACAGATGTACATGCTGGCAGACAACCAGCTTTATGTATAAGATTATACAGATATGTAACACTTGTCCGCGCGGGGTGGAGCCTTTCGGCGACGTATAGTCCCCTATCACGTTTATTACTATGCATATTTCAGTGAAAGTGTTATAAAATTGAATAAGAACGTACCATTTGCTAGACGAATTTTCTGAATGTCACAAAAAAGACTGCATGAGGTTTGATTATGGATTTAAATACTTCTACCGCACATGTTTCAGTTGATAAAGCCTACATAATTCAAGCCCTGATCTGCCCTTGTTTGTGACAGAGGTCATCACTGACGTAAATTTCGATACATACGCTAGTTTATGTTCTCTGACCTCACAGGCAGCACGCACTTTATCAATACTTGCACTTCTCGATCTCAGACAACTTTTTACATAGACCTTCACAAAGAAAAACGTGACCTCGGAGAGAATATCCTCACTAGATTCGCGCTTTTTCACTGATTGAAGCTTTTGAAACTGTTCGAAAATCAGCTGAGACTCGCATTTATGGAAAAAGCAGCATCAGTGTTGCTTTCCAGCTTATGATTGAAAAGGTCTAGCGCAAACATAGGCACACGGACATCACGAGTACAGCAAAATTATTTCTTCATGTTGGGTTTGCGATGAGATAGCCATACGTAGAGTACCAGGAACAGCTATGGACACACTTGTGTCCTCATTCAAGTGAAATGCCAAGGAGGAAAGTGGAAGCGCTCATAATTTAGGAATGGAATTTTTGAGGTTTTGCACATGATCTTTCCAGGGATAAACACAGGGCCTGTAGTAAACCCCCCGGACGTCGTGACGTATAGCTCGGAGTATGCTGTGACATGTGCTGACTATCATGGAGCGAGGCTGGCAAAACGGCTATCCTTTATCATTGCCGGCGGATGCAATCGATGCGTAGCGTCAGGGCAGTCGCACTTTGTCGCGATATGTCGCGACATATCGCGATATATAGCGACATATTGCGACATGTCGTGACGAACAAGACGGCGAAATACTTTGTCCATCATAGAGACGCAGAGACATAGCGCAAGACTAGAGCTCGACTACGCCAACCTCGCAATAGGTCGCACATGCACACAGTTCTCTATAACGCACGTCAACCGCGATCAATATCAACAGCTGATACGCGCCTAACTGTTCGAGCAATGCGCCTCTCCCTATTCTCCAAGTACTTCTGCTGCTGCCGCTTTGGTATTTGAAAAAAGGTGAGTTTATTTTAACTAAAAAGTATGTTAGACTCATACTTAGCCATATTTTTCGTACCTATGCAGTTTTTCTTCTTTATTTTTGCTATGCACCTTGTTTGAGCAAAAAGTCCCTTCTTTGTGCCAAACTTTCGCAAATTCTTGATCTTTTCATCATTCTTGGCAGTTTCGAGCACATATCTCTGCTGGTTGCTGTTCGTTAGCCATGCACCTCTCGTTTCCTTTCGTTTTTTATGAGAAAGCACCGTCTGGCGTTATGGCTAATGGAATAGCCCATTTTTGAACGGACTAAATGCTGATGATAATATTTTGATTTTTCTTGTACACTTTCAATATGTATTCTACTTTCAATTCCATTTTCTTTCAAAAAGAAAATTCTAATTCACGTTCCTTTGCAAAATTCAGTTTGCCAGCAAAAAAAGATAGTGTCGCCTGGAACTTGTACCCCCAACGTCTAGCACACCGGCCTCTCACACTGGCACTGCGCTAACTACAAGCTATGTTGAGATGTTGAGCTGTTTCACAATAATTGCAAAAGTAGTAGCTAACCCTTCAACAATACTTACGGATAAGGCATGCATATCGTTTTCCCATACTGATTTGCTGCAACTGCTCTATTTGATACATGTATCCTCTCCCGAGCAAAGCACGGCGTAGTAGCATACAGCGCAGCGAATTTGCGCGCTGCTAGACCATCTGTGTCTTGGCACGGAGCTGGCACGAATCTGGCACGGGCTGACACGCTCAATTTTTATTGAGGGCAACAGTCAAATATGGTCCTGCCATAGCGGATAATGGCGCTTCTTACAGCATGGTGTACAAAGATAAGCATAATTCTGCAACAGACATAGATCAACTGCGTTTTCCTATCAATATTGATGAACATGAGATAATGAGTTAAAATATGGAGAAAGAGGCGCGCACACGCGAGGATAGTTAGTTATTGGATTTCCTTTGATTGATTTACCTGCTCTGGCAAGCATAGTATACTATATTCTTGCCTCGCTAAGCAAATACCCCGCGGCATATCTGTACTCATAGCGCAGCGCGTGTGACCGCTGTTATCGCGGTCATCAGCGGTTCAATGACGCGCGGAGGCGCTCGTTTTGCGGTGCCCTGCGGATAGCTCGCTATAGTCTTGCGAGATACTCCGAGCTATCACGACATAGTCCCTCTATGTTGTGACAACCACGAGGGGTTTACTACGGGCCAAGAAGTTGCCCCTCTTATAACATCAATTTTTTACGAGCTCATCGAGAAGATGTGTTGAGAATCTAACTACTGAACTGAAAAGACTTCATTCTATGCCTTATTTGTAACGTATTTTTAGTGGAACTAACAAGAGAATGTTCAAAAGTCGAGGTGGTCAATCCAAATAAGCTGTATACCATTCGATGCAACGTAGGCTGACTCAAGTCTGTCTCCCTTACCTGCTGAAAGCTTTACGTTTAGCGCAAATTCGTGCATAAAAATTGCGAAGTTAAGCTTATTATCACAGTTTGGCTCACCTCTAGGTATGAGCCATTTTAAGTAAGCTGGCTGGATGTTTTGGTTTAACATCAAGCCGAATAGGTTCTGTACGACCAAATTTGCCCTTTGTATGCACGATCGCAATGCTCTCTGATCACTCTAGCCTTAATCAGGTCACGAAGCCCCGCCTTCCCAAGCCAGTTGAATCAGATGGTACAAACACACAACAGTTTTCATAGTCTTTATAAAGGGAAGCTTGTTTCCTAATTTGCAAGTGTCACCTCATGCCGAGCATTGAGGAAAAAACGCAAAAAGAACAATGAATTACAATAAAAGGGAAAATGATGTTTGTACTCTTTGCACTGCTCAGACAATCGACCGGACCCCTCCGCCGGACAGTCCGAATCTGCCAGAGTCGCGCCGGACCCAGTTGACCAATGAGAGAGGGGCAAATGGGCGTTCCGTCGCGGTAACGTCACTGGCAGGCAAGTGGGAGGCTTCTCCGGCCCTGCTGCAAAGGTACGCCATTTCTCCGGCGCAGCTCTGCCAGATTTGGCAGAGCCGCGCCGGAGAAAATTGCCCGG